ATGATATTGGGGAAGTTTTCTGTCAGCAGTTCTTCAATGATCTTCTCTGTGTTTTCTCCCCGTTCTGGAACTCCCATCACTCGAAAATTTTTTCTTTTGATTGTATCCCACATGATTCTCAGGGTCTCTTAATTTTTCTTTCCTCTTTTTTTATGATTTTTTCGTCAGAGTTGTATCCAAGTGTTTGTCTCCAATTTCGCTGACCCTGTCTTTCACCATTTCAATCCTGTTCCTAAGCCCTTCTGTGACACTGTCCATTTCTGAAATCTTGTTGTTTATCTTTTGGATTTCTAATCATTGTTTTTGTATGATTTATAGTTGTGAATTTATTTTGGCATTTTGTTCCTGCATTATTTTCCTGAATTCTTCCTTTTTTTGTCTGTATTTTCCATGAATTCGTCTATTTTTTCCTCATTTTTGTCTGATTTTTGCTTCAACTCTTGGATAGCTCTGAATATTAGAGATTTGAGTTCCTTATCAGGTAGTTCTAGTGCCTTTTCTTCTACTGGAAAGTCATCTGGTGTTTTATTTTGGACACCTACTGGAACCCTCCTGTCCTGTTTTTGTAAATGTTTTGATATTGTCTGCTGTCTTCAGGGCATTTGGTAGTTATTTTCTTCGTTTATTGATTTAGATTTGTTTGTTTCATCCTGATTTTGTTTTATTTGGCTATGTCTGAGCAGGTGGCCTGTGTGTTCTTTGTTGTTTGCTCGTCTGTGGGTATGATACTTTTCGCATCCTTCTCCAGTTGGCAGGGTCAGTCACTCAGGTATGGTACAGCAGGGCAGGTTTAGCTGAAGAGGAGTTGCTGGGATGGGTTGTTTGTGGCACGTACTAGGGTCAACAGGGTGGGCCGGGAATCTCTGCAGGGCAGGTTCCAGTAGGCCGTGTCCGTGCTACCTAGGGGTGTGATGTTCAGCATTCGGTGCAGGTAAGCAGGATAGAGGGGGGAGATTGTGATGTGTGGAGCTAAGATGGGTATGGGAAAGAGGAGAGAGAGGAGAGAGGAACAGGAGCCAAAAACATACAAACAAAGAGTGCTAAGGGAGTTTGCAGTTGGAGTGGAGAGATGAGAGACTGAGAAATGCAGAAAAACAAAAAGGAGAAGAAGAAGAAAAAAACAAATAAAAATTAGAAATAAAAAAGAAAAGCAAAGCCTCCAGGGATCCCACCGGTACGGCTGCAAGGTCTGGGGAAGTTGCTACCAGGCGGTGAAGTACAGCCTGGCTAGAAGGGGTAGAGGTGTCACTCAGTGCCAGGTATTCAGGAAACAGGAAGAGAAGGTAAGTTTAGAGAGATGAGAAACTGAGTAATGAAGAAAGACAAAAAGGGAAAAAGAGAGAAGAGAAAATAAAACAAACAAACAAGTGAAAAAACAAGAAAACCCCCAAAAAAAACAAGAAAAAGAAAGTGCCCTCAGGGATCCCTCTGCACGTCTACGCAAACTGAGGGGGTAGGTCCCAAGCCATGCAGTACTGCCCTGCTAGAACGGGCTCCCAATTCGAGAAAAGAAAAATAAAACAAACAATTCAAAACAAAAAAAGCCCTGGGATCCCACCAGCATGGCAGCATGGGCTGGGGAGCAGTTTCACATTCGAGCGGCATTTCACAGCCTTTCAGGAAGAAGCAAAGATGGCGTACGGAGCCAGGTATTTGAGAGAAAGGAGGGGGAAGTGTTGAGAGGAATGGAAGAAATCAAAAGAAGTGGAAAAAAGCAACACTAGCAGTCAACAAATGACGCTCAGGGAGCCAGCCAGTGCAGGTGGGTGGAATCCAGGTAGCACTGGGGTGAAGCTTGTGCTTCCTGGCTAAGAGACTGGCCGCAGGAAGCAGAGGAGGCCTTGTGGGGGTGAAGAAGGGCAGGGGGTGGGAAAGCGTATATCACTGGTTACCGGTTATTGTTTCTCCTCCTGGAAGCTCTGTGAAGCTGATTTCCTGTACCCCCTGTTCACTGATCTCCGATAGGAGTCCAAAATGATGGATCCATGCTGTGTTAGCTGACAGGGGACCTCTGCATGTATCTCTCCTCACTCTGTTCTCTGTCAGTTTCTTATTCCATTCGGTGCTTGGCTGAGTTCTCTATCTCTTCATTTGATGCTTAGGGTTTCGGGATTGCCGTTTTCTCTGTTTGGCTTGGTTTTACGGATCTTTGCTGTGGAGGGACAGTGTGGTACTTCTTTCTATAGCGCTGTATTGCTTGGACTAAATTTTAATTTTTAATGACAGTTTTTAAAAATAAAAAATAATCATAAACATTTAAAGGAAATCCCAGACATCATGTAGTTTGGTCTGTAAATATTTCAGTGTTATCTCATCAAAAAATACTTAAAAAAAAACGAACAAACCACATTACCATTATCACACCTAAGGAAAAATTAACAATAATTCCTTAATATCACCAAAGATGTAATATTCTAATCAGTCAGTTAGTTTTGCAGAAGCCCTACAGTTCCAAATGGATTCTTGAGAAAGTGGTGTTGGGGCTTGTTCATCTTGTTTTCTTTCACCTTTTTTTTTAATTGAGGTATAACTTATTGAGCTTTATTGAGGTATAGTGTATATACCATAAAATTCCTTGTTTTAAGTGTACAATTCAGAGGTTTTTAGTAAATTTACAAATTGTGCAACCATTACCACAATCCAATTTTAGAACATTTCTGTCACCCCAAAAAACCCCTTGTGCCCATTTGCATTCACTCCCCATTTCCACCCCCAGCCCTAATGACCACTAATCTACTCCCTGCTGAAACAGAGTTACCTTTGCTGGACATTTCCTATAATTGGACGTAAAACAACAACAACAGCTCTGGCAACATGGCAGTTGTTCATGATTTTGAGATTCATCCATATTGGAGCATGTATCAGTATGGCGTTTTTTTATTCCCGAATAGTATTCCATTGTATGGACATACTAATTTTGTTTAACTCTTCAGCAATTGAGGAACCCGTGGAGTGTTTCCAAGGAGCCCTGGTGGTGCAGGGTTAAGCGCTAGGCTGCTAACTGAAAAGTCAGCCGTTTGAACCCACCAGCAGCTCCATGGGAGAAAGATGTGGCAGTCTGCTTCCGTAAAGATTTACAGCCTTGGAAACCCTATGGGGCAGTTCTAACTCTGTTCTTTAGGGTCACTATGAGTCAGCATTGACTCAACGCAGTGGGTTATGGAGTAGCGTTTCCCTGTTTGGCCTATCTCCTTTTTTCCTTCAATTTTTTCAGTCAAATAGTTGACTAGGTTTTTGCAGAAATTAGAAGAGTTTTCTGGGAACTCTGACCAACCCAAGAAAAATGACCTAAAGTTTTACTAATAATTGAGGTCCTTCAACAAAATAGCTAGATCACTATACAGTGACAAACCCCAGCCACGGACACAGAGCATCCCTTAGGTTTTTAGTGCACTGCTCTTAACTATGAGCTGACTGCTGAGTAGACTTTCACTACCAGTTCTCGTGTCTTAGTCTTATCTTCACCCCGCTTCCACTGGCACATGTGCCACCAGTTCCTGAGCCTTTGGGTTTGTGCAGGCTTATATATAAATCAGGTGGTTTTATTCATTGCCAGTTTAGGATTTAGCTTCTTTGGGTGTGCTAAGTCGGTTATCATTCATTCATCTGCTCACCAGCTTCCAAAATGTTATTGATGTCTCTTTCCCTCTATTTTTTCTTTTGTTGGTTTATACTTTTAAAGCAACAACAAAGAATTTTACTGTCTATTTAATAGATAGTAAAATTAAATGCATGTGTGCAATCTACTATCTATAACTGGAAATCTCCCTATTAAATATTGATTTGCCATTTTCACTTATTTAAGGTTGATAAAAGATTCTATTTTGAATATTCTGGAGCTTATTCATTGTCCTCAGGGAATGCAGATCCCTACAAAGTTCTGTGGGGTAGATAGGCCGTCACCTACTCACTGGTCTTCTCTAACTTGGTCCCAAGTGTGAAGAGGGAGCCTGTGAACAGTCAGTAGCTGATCCCACACATGCACATGCTTCGTGAGTTGGTAGCTGGATTGGTATGTGCTCCTTATTTGATGAGTTCTTAGTCAATATGGCCATCATCAGAAATCTCACAAGCTTTAAAAGATCCAAGCTGGACTATCCACATCTCTTTCATTGCACCGTTTGTGCTCTCACTCTGACTTAAGCACTTCTGAGTCTTAACACCTTTTTTTTTCCCCCTCGTATAGGATCATGGATTTTCCTGGACACTTTGAACAGATCTTTCAACAACTGAACTACCAGAGACTTCATGGCCAGCTCTGTGATTGTGTCATCGTAGTAGGGAATAGACATTTTAAAGCCCACCGCTCCGTGCTGGCAGCATGCAGCACGCATTTCCGAGCCCTGTTCTCAGTGGCAGAGGGAGATCAGACCATGAACATGATCCAGCTGGATAGTGAGGTAGTGACAGCGGAGGCCTTTGCCGCACTGATTGACATGATGTATACCTCCACCCTTATGCTGGGCGAGAGCAATGTTATGGATGTCTTATTGGCAGCCTCTCACCTGCATCTGAACTCTGTTGTTAAGGCATGTAAACATTACTTAACGACAAGGACGCTGCCCATGTCTCCCCCCAGTGAGCGCGTTCAGGAGCAGAGTGCCCGCATGCAGCGCTCCTTTATGCTACAGCAGCTGGGACTAAGCATTGTGAGCTCAGCCCTCAATTCCAGCCAGAGCGGCGAGGAGCAGCCAGCACCTATGAGCTCATCGATGTGCAGTAATCTGGACCAGCGGACGCCCTTCCCCGTGAGACGCCTTCATAAGCGCAAGCAGTCTGCAGAAGAGCGAGCCAGACAGCGCCTCCGACCCCCCATGGATGAGTCTGCCATTTCAGACGTTACCCCAGAAAATGGACCGTCGGTGGTTCATTCTCGGGAGGAGTTCTTCTCACCAGATTCTCTGAAAATTGTGGATAACCCTAAGGCTGATGGCATGACCGACAGCCAGGAAGACAATACCATCATGTTTGACCAGTCTTTTGGTGCTCAGGAAGATGCCCAGGTGCCCAGCCAGTCCGACAACAGTGCCGGCAACATGGCACAGTTGTCCATGGCCTCTCGTGCAACTCAGGTTGAGACTAGTTTTGAGCAGGAAGCTGCAACTGAGAAAAGTGACTTCCAGTGTGAAAATCCTGAGGTTGGCCTTGGTGAGAAGGAGCACATGAGAGTGGTAGTGAAATCAGAGCCCCTGAGCTCTCCCGAGCCTCAGGATGAAGTGAGTGATGTGACCTCACAAGCAGAAGGCAGTGAGTCTGTGGAAGTGGAAGGAGTTGTGGTCAATGCTAAGATAGACCTCAGCCCTGAAAGCAGTGATCGGAGTTTTTCAGATCCCCAGTCTAGCACTGACAGGGTAGGTGACATCCATATATTGGAAGTCACAAATAACTTAGAACATAAGTCCACTTTTAGCATTTCAAGTTTTCTTAACAAGAGTAGAGCTGGTAACTTCAGCACAAACCAGAACAATGATGATAACATCCCAAACACCACTAGTGACTGCAGGCTGGAGGGTGATGCCTCTTATTTGTTGAGTCCAGAGGCTGGGCCTGCAGGCGGGCCTTCCTCAGCCGTTGGCTCTCATGTGGAGAACCCATTTAGTGAGCCTACAGACTCCCATTTTGTTAGGCCTATGCAGGAAGTGATGGGTCTGCCATGTGTGCAGACTTCAGGCTACCAAGGAGGAGAACAGTTTGGGATGGATTTTTCCAGGTCTGGTTTGGGACTCCACTCCTCCTTCTCCAGAGTAATGATGGGCTCCCCAAGAGGAGGAGCTGGTAACTTTCCATATTACCGCCGCATAGCTCCCAAAATGCCAGTTGTAACTTCCGTCAGGAGCTCACAGATCCCTGAAAACTCTGCCAGTTCCCAGCTAATGATGAATGGGGCCACGTCCTCATTTGAAAATGGCCGTGCTTCCCAGCCTGGCCCTCCACAGTTGACCAGGGCCTCTGCTGACGTCCTGTCAAAGTGCAAGAAGGCCTTATCAGAGCACAATGTCTTGGTTGTAGAGGGCGCTCGCAAGTATGCCTGCAAAATCTGCTGCAAGACTTTTCTGACCTTGACAGATTGCAAGAAGCACATCCGTGTTCACACAGGTGAAAAACCCTATGCCTGCTTAAAGTGTGGCAAGCGGTTTAGCCAGTCTAGCCACCTATATAAACATTCTAAGACTACCTGTCTCCGCTGGCAGAGCAGCAATCTTCCCAGCACTTTGCTCTAACCCCATCCTTTTGAGACAATCCTGATGCCAGTGGTAGGATTGAAACTAAAATCTCTATTGGTAGATGGTTAATGCCATAGGGTTTGAGCTTCAGGCTGCAGTGGCTCTTGCAAATTTTGACAGCTAATAAGTGAAGTCTAATAAATATAGCACCTGTGTGGCTACATTTCGAGTGAAGTACAGAACTTGGTAGAGGGATGCAATCCCTGAAACCAAGTTCTTCCTTAGGATTGAGTAATGCAGTCATAAAATAGTTTGTAATTGATGTTGTTAAAAGTGGCAGATTTAAAAATTAAAATTGAAGTGCAAAAAAATTTTTTTAGCAATTTTGTAAAACTGTGAGGCATTTAAATTTCCTATACCCTCTGATAGGAATATTATATACCTGTACAGTGATGCAAAATGCACTTATGTGTAAACAGTGGCAACGTCATGCATGTCTAAAAGGAAAGCCCTTGAGGACATGCCTGTCTGCCACAAATGCTTTAAATTGTATCAAGAGCTAGTCTAAGCCTCAGAAAGTACTGTATTTTTTATTTTTGTCTGATTTGCAGTCACAGACACTGCACTTTTATGGTGCTGACACTGGGTCCAGAGCGAGCATTCTCTTGGACTATAAGGTGTATATACTTTTGAATACATCACTGTTGGACAGATGTTTTAACAATTTTCCTGGTTTTAAAAACAAAGTTGTAAATGGAGTATGTACTCTTAGGGAGTGACAAGTAAGGTATTGTTCTGTATGTGCTGTTTTAGTAGTATTTTAACCAACCTGTATTACAGATGTTAAGTTCCATGTTTAGAAGTCAAAAAAGAGCTAGTGTTTTGTCTTTCTTCTGATGACGTGGAGTCATGTTTCGTGGGATCTTTATGGCACACTTATCCTTTGCTCTGGCCAGATGTTGGAGGCCAGTCCCATCTGACACATTTCAGCCAAGGGCCAGCCTGTTCTCTGCTTCTTCTCTTCACACTCCCATGCCCTGTATGGCATCTTTCCCAGACCAAGCTTACTGTTTTAGGTATAAACTAATCAAAAAATAGTGCCAGCCCCCCTTTGCCCTGGGTTTTATTACCGACATATACTATGATTTAAAAGTATAGATCCTAAACTTTGTAGTTGTAGTTTCCCCAGTCCAATACTGAATGTGTAAAATTATTTGAAATCTAAAGGTAGCAGTATTCATGAATATTTTTTAGGCTCTGTAAGAGGGTTAACAGCCCATGGCATAGAAGTCACCAGGTAGCATCCAAGACTGTTAGAGGTGGCACTGGATCATTGCCCAGGTCCTTTCTGGGCCCCACGGCCTCCCTTCCCCAGCCACATCTTCCTGTCGCCTGGGACTGTGCCATCAGGGCTGCTGGTGGCCCCTGTTTGGGGGTAAGCCTGGCTCATGTGCTTTCAGGGGAACAGCATAGATTAATGCATCTCAGTAGAACTCGTGAAGTCATAGTTTGACTCATGCATGAACATGAGTTCATTTTCTTTTTTCTTTATACAGCCTTTCTAGAGACACTAAACCATTGTGCATAATTCAAAGAAATCCTTCAGTTCTTCTGTTTAGAAAACTAAGCGTGTATGTGTAGCTTAAAACAAAAATTAGTGTGTGCTTTCTCCTCTTACTCTAGCATATGCAGTTACACGTGTCTGTGGATAAACCCACAATGCTCATAGTGGGACTTAGCATCCCCTAAGAACTGATTCCTAGGGAGGAAAGCCAAAAGGGAAGCCTCTGTGATTCTTCTCCTTTCAAGTACACACGGGCAAGAGGCCTGTGGAGGATATGGAATCACCTGTGAAACTCAGTTCTGTGTCGCTAATTGTTAGTAATCATGTTCTGACTTGATGTGAGGAGGCTACATCTAAAATGGTGGGGACCAGTGTTCTGTGAGGTGCTTCATCTTGGGAGACAGATGGGTCAACATGGAGAACAAGACAGGCCCTGCCTGGACCCAGGGAGAAGAACCTGTCACCTCGGGAAGAGCAGTGGGCAACCTTCCTTCCCTTCCATCCTGATGAGGTGTCAGAGCCTGCCCCTCACCTTAGCTTAAGCTTAAGTGGACTTTGCTTTGGGGGTCTCTCTCATAGAGCTGCTGGAGCCCTGCCTCTCCACTGCTAGATGGAACCTGGAATCTCTCATCTACCTCTTAGTTAGTTTCTACATGTGAGAAGCAAGCTTCCAGTTAGTGCCCTGGTACATGCTGTAGCACTTAAAACATAATTCAAAGGTTCACTGGAATACCAGTCCCAGGGTTCCCATGACCCATGGTTTGTACCTGAATTATAACTGGTATTGGATAACTGAATTTTGATTGGTTAGCCTTAATTATAGCCTGGCATAATCATGTAGAATCTTTTGTAGTGATCAAATCATAAAGTTCTATGAGGGCATCCATGTCAGTGGTGCTATGCTGGTCAGAATTTGAGATTTTGAAATAAAAATTTTGTCATATTCATGCCTCTGACTAAATATGTCTTTTTTTTTTTTTTGCTTAGGCTGTTAAGATTGAAACCCAAAAGGGAAATAGCATTTCCACCTCTGTTGGCCCCTCATTGAGCAGTACTTATTTCTCTAACCAAGCCTCCTAGAAAATACTCCAATGCTGTGAATTGATTAACAGTCATTGGTCATTTCATTCTCCTCAGTTTATTCCTCCTGCCTGCCTTGTACCCTTTCTGCCTTTGAGCTGTGCACATGTGTAAGGTTTTGTTCTCAGCACACCCAGTTTTCTTCTTAGAGTGCCGGCTTAATCTTGTGTTTTCTGCTGCTCTCTGTACCTGCCTCTCAGGTTTGAAAACTCCGTTTGCCAGTTTGACCTGGTTGTTGGGGAGAGCTGGAACCTGAAGTCTTGGGCATGGAGCAGGGCTTTGGCAGTGGCAGTGCTGGTGGACTGGCCTTGGGGAGGAGTAAGGGAGGTGGTGATTAGAAAAAGATTATCCATCTAGGAGTGGGGATGGAGGAAGAAGTGGACAAAGGGAACAAAGTGTGTAGATGCTGAAGGGAATTTTAAAATAAAAACTAAGAAACCCACATATCTTCAATTATTTTTTGACAAAAAGATAAAGAGTATCGTGACCTTAACTAGTTCTCGTTTCTTCTACTTAACTCTTTGCTGTGTGTGCTCTTTAATTTGTCTGCTGGTCTAGGTTATCAGATTCAAGTGCCAGGGTTGCAGCTGGGCTGAGATTGTCCCGTCTTGAGTGAGAGACAAATGAAGGGATTTGAGCAGAGAGGATGAGGGATAAGGTGGTTTGGACAGGTTCTAATAGTTTAAAATTCTAGGGGATGAGAACTGGGGTGGCAGGCAGTCACTTAATGCCCTGACTGAGAAAAGGTAAGCGGATACTCTTTGTTAGCTTCCCAGCTCCAGGCCAAGATAGTCTCTCAGAGAATTATTTAATAATAGCATTACATACTTTTGGCTCAGATGTTTCCAACTGCAAAAGTGGCAACCATATCCATCAGCACCAGTCTTCCCTCTACAGAATCAGTACAGATCAGACTTTTTTCCCTGGCTCCCGTCCTGTGGGTCCAAATCAAGCCTGGGCACATCTGATAATACTAGGGCACCGTTTGCTTCCTGGCCCTCTGTGTCTCCTGTCTGTTCACAGCTTGAGCTCACTGGGCATTGGTTCCCCTCTCAGGCCAGCCAGCAAGTTGTTAGCTGCCAACAAGGACATAGTGTTGCGGGTTCTGTGGGTGGCACTGCCAATGTGGGGCAGGATCACTGGAAAGGAAAAGAAGGAGGTAAGACAGGTGTTGCAAGAGCTTTCAAGTCTTTTTCATGGCTTGGGTTTACCAGTAAGAAGAATAAAGAGAACCTGCCTCAACATTCCTTGATTTGCCTTCTCTCCTGCTATCACTAAGCATGACCTGGGGCTGAGGGTTACAGTAACAAAGCAAAGGGATTCTAGACTACTGAAACCCAGACAGAAGTGTGACGAGAGATAATGTGTCATAAACATAAGAATGTGAGGGCTAGAAGGGGTCTTAGAGCCTATCTAGTCCCAGCCCTTCAGTTAATACATGGTGAAACTAGGTGCTGATTAAGCTTAAGAGTTTTAACACTGATCATCCACACTCTGTGCTCCTGAAAGCGATGCCACAGGGCCATGGTGTTTCTGATCTACAAAAATAACCACAAGATGAAATGCTGGACAGCACAGCTCCCTCTGGCTCACTGCAGAGCAAGTGAGGTCACCTGTCCCCAAAGAACAGCTTTTTGAAAGCAGTACCGGAGGCACTGAGCCGAACTCCTAGGCCTTGTGGGGGGTGAGGACAGCTTTCTCAGCCAGCTGTGGGCAACAGCCCTGATATCACAGCCAATGTTCCTTTCAGTCTGGGGTTGAGGGGTGGGGATGGTAGAGTCTCCAAGGCCTGAAATAATGGGAGCATTCATTGTGGGGAAGGCAGCTAAGGACCTTCTCTGAGTTCCCATTCCAGAATGTCAACAGCGGGGCTTCGAACTGGTTCTTCCTGGTTCAGTCATGGCCGAGGAAGTGAAACTAGAACAGACCCAAATTTTTAAAATTTGGTTGAACCGGAATGATAACGGGAAAAATTATGGATCGAAGCCCTACTAGAAACCTGATTTCCTTCTTAGAAAACAAGGACAGCGTACGTGTTGCATAGAACCAAGTATCTTGCCCGTTGGATTTTGAGCAGAGTTGGAAAACAGTGGTGCCCCACTCAAAGATGGTGGCCGATGCGCCACTTTGACTGTGTGTCATTCTCCACAGTCCTGCCAATAATCCAGTCTCATGCATCACCTCCTGAAAGGGCTCATTACGTCTCTTCCGAGTCTCCCATTTCAGGGCTTTGACCCATAATTTTTCCCATTCCGGTTATTGTTCTGGATCTCCCAAATTGTAATAATTCAGGTCTGTTCTGGTTATGCTTCACTGGCCATTACTGAACCAGTTCAAATCAGTTTGAAGCCCTGGTAAATGAAGCCCAGAAAACCTAAGTCCTTAGCACTCTTGCAGTTAAGTATTAGTCTGGAGACGGAAACCACACCAGAAAGAATTTAAGAATTGTGAACTAGGTATACAGTTGTTAACTATGTAACTGAAGAGGTCAAAAACACTAAAGCAGTGGTTCTTAAAAGTGTGGTCCCAGGACCAGCAGCATCAGTGTCATCCAGTAATGTGCTAGAAATGTACATTCTCAGGTTCCACCTCAAGACCTACTGAGTTAGAAACTTGGGCTGGTGCCTAGCAACCTGTGTTTTATCAGTCTCCAGGTGACTGATGCACACAGAAGTTTGAGAACCACTGCGCTAAAGTATCACAGAGGTAGCAACTGACTGCAAGAAGCATCCCCTAGGGCTAGGAGAACAAAGGCATAAGTGTTTTGGACAAGTTCTAAAAGTCAAAATGCTAGGGGATGAGAATTAAATTATTAAAACCTAGTCAGCTGAAGGGTTCCTTTTGGGCTGACACTCAGACCTCTGTGGCAGAGGCATTGACTGGTTGTTGCTAGTGCCTGTGAGGGGCACCATGAGGCTGGTTAAGCAAGTGTTGGGAAAATGCAAATTGAATTTACCAGCCACTACAGGCAGGAACTGCTCCTGCTAGGTTAAGAAACGTTGCTGCGGTGCCACTCCCAGACACAGACAATCAACCGGAAGGCAGGAAGGAACAAGTCTTGGTTCCTCTAGCCTGCCAATCTGCCTCCAGTGCCCCACACTGACAGCCAAGCAGGGCCAGCGGCCCAGCAGAGTCCCAGCCCCAGCATCACACAGCAGAATATGGAAGGGTGGGTCTGAAGCCAAGAGAAAACAACTTAATAATGCACAAGTTATAAATGTTGGTATTGTAATTACACTTGTAATTTCTCACTTTTAAACTGATAATAGCAATTCATAGTAACCGATTTTACCCATGACTGTGTATTGACACCCAGTCAGCCCACTTGCTTTTTAAACAAATCCACTCACCCCCAAATTCAGCTTCTTTAGGGACAAAGACTTAGTTGAACATGCTTGGGAGGCACCTCTCCTATGTTATATACCAATGTCATTAAGGGCATAAACGTTTATGGTGTTTGAGTGTGGCCCTTTATGTTAGTACTGCTTATGATGGCTTCACACCCAGCATCTCCAGACCACCGCTAAATACTGTGGTCCTAGGGAGCAGAAGATGACTTTTATTTGAAAAGTGCAGTTCTTACCACAGTTCTTCAGGGTCAGGAGAGGGTGGTTTGTAGGCAGTGGTTCTGGAGTGGTCACATCTAGTCCAGCAGCTGCAATATGACCACTGGCCAAGGCCTGGTACAAGTCGTCCTGGTTTACCACATCTCCCCTGGGAATGACAGGCTGCTTTTAGGGCAGAACAACCCACAGAATGTGAATTTTTCCACTGAAAGATACTAAATTTTAAAGCAATAAGTGTCAGTATTTCTCTAGGACACATTTTTGTTTGAGTTCTTTATATAACATTTAGCCTTTACATAAGCTGGGTGACTGTAAGTGTCCCTTCTTGGCTCTGGGCCTGTCTCACAGGGGCTTAAGCCAACCCAGTGGTACCTGGACTGAGTGAGGCAGGCTGAGGACAGAACAATAGCCTTTCCTAAATAGGCTGTAGTCTTTGTTTTTTTCCTATTTGCAGAAGCCTGAATTTGAGAAAACACTCATATTTTCCTTCTGCACATTTTCCTTAAAACAAGGCATCAATTATATACACTGGAAAGAATCCAGTATCAAAAAGGTATGTGAGAGAGTATATAGTAAGATGGTGGTGTAAGCAGCAAAAACACACACATAAAAAAACAAGTAGAGACTTGTGGACTCAACAGTGTCAGAACTCTGGAAACTAGTAAAAGAGTTCTAATTAAGCAAATGCTGAATCAAGAAAAAGGCAACATACATTGTCATAGGGCAACATGTGTAGTAACTGTTAAATGAGAAACTATTCTGTTCGGTAAGCCTTCATCTTAAGTGAGAGTAACAGCACAATTGGAAGAGCGTAGTCAATGTCACTGAACTGTGCATGTAGAAATTTTTGAAATGGTGTATCTTTGGCTATGTGTATTTTCACCAAAAAAAAGTTGAGAAGTTAGAGGGTTGACATGTTGTGGGGTTGTTAACAAATGTCATAAAACAGTATGTGTACTACTGTTTCATGAGAAACTATTTGTTCTGTAAGCTTTCACCTGAAGTACAATTAAAAAAAAAAAAAAAAGAGGCAACATGAATGGTAGGAAAGCTTTGGTTTTCTACCTGCCTGCATCCCAACCCATCCCCAGCTTGGCATAGTCATCTTAAAGCAGTATCAGACCACACTCACAGGGAGGGAGCCTGGTCTGGCTCTTGATGGAACAGAGCAGACTGTATTAAAAAAATCATTGTGTCTGTCTGTTCTAACCTGTCTGGGGACTGCCTGAAGGACTGAAGTAGGGCACCTGTCTCAGTTTGGCCTGTCTTGGAGCTCATGCAGGGCTGAGAAGCAGTGGGCAGCAACCTAGGGCTGTGACTATAGCTGTCTGGGGCTAAAGAGTGCCATTAAGGGATATGGTAGGCCCCTAAATGCTGGAAGGAGAGGCCAGGGAGAGAATTTCTTTTGGAAGTCAAAGCTTTCAAAAGCACCATGTCTCCTTCCTACCCCTGGTAACCACTAATAAACCTTAGTCTCTATTTAAACAAACAAACAGACAAACTACCGTGTATATGGGAGAATTAAGAAATGAAAAAGCCACTCACATGCCCAGGACAAAACACATGCTCAGAAACTATCTGACAGGACCCTACGATTTCACTTCGGGCTGATCCATAGTCTCAGTGCAAGCCTGGCTCAGTGCTGAAGGAGGACCCTGGCACAGAAGGTTTTTTTTGTTTGTTTTGATACCTCCCCTGGTGTTCAAGGAAATCTCTGTCAACACACTAGCTAAACATAAGCTAAGAAACAGTCTTCAGTGTCCACACATGTATGAGAAGGCAGTTTTTGCAGAAATAGTGAGGGAAGGTCACTAAACAAATGGATGACTACAGCCTTCAACAATTTAGAACACAAAACAAAAAACAGCACACCCTGGGGAAGGGGAAGAATCTGATTTCCAGAATTACCACATTATAATATTCAGACGTCTCGGTTTCAACAAAAAATCACAAGGCATACAAAGAAACAGCAAAGCCCATTTGAAAGAACAAAATTAAGTGACAGAAGCTGTCCCCATGGAAGCCCGGATAATAGACTTAATAGACAAAGACTTTAAAACAACAGTATTAAATAGTCTCAAAGAGTTAAAAGAAAACACAGATGAAGAACTAAAGGAAAACGATACAGGAACAAAAGAATAAAGAAACAGACATTTTAAAAAGAAACCTAACAAATACTGGAACAGGAAAGTACAGTAACTAAGAAGAAAAATTCATTGGAGTGTTCATCAGCAGATCTGAGCAGGTAGAAAGAATCAGCAAACTTAAAGATAGGAAAACTGAAATTATGGAGTCTGGGGAGCAAAAAGAAAAATGAAAAAAAAAAATGAACAGAGTCCTAACGGACTTGTGGGATACCATCAAGTGAACAAATTTCTGCATTGTAGGAGTCCCAGAAGGAGAAGAGAGAGAGAAAGGGGCAGAAAGATTATTTGAAGAAATAGTGGCCAAAAACTTTCCAAATGTGATGAAAGACACGAATTTACACATCCAGGCAACTCAATAAACTCCAAGCAGGATAAACCCAAAGAGAGTGACTCCAAGACACATTATAATCCAACTCTTGAAAACCAAAAATAAAGACAGAATCTTTAAAGCAGCAAGAGAAAAGCAAATCGTCACATAAAAGGGACCCTCAATAAGATTAAATGCTAATCTCCCCACAGTAACCATGGAGGCCAGAGGGCAGTGGTATGACATATTTCAAGTGCTGAAAGAAAAGAACTGTCACCAAGAATTCTATATCTGGCAAAACTGTCCTTCAAAAAATGAGAGTGAAGTTAAGACACTGCCAGATAAACAAAAGCTGAGAGTTCATTACTGAGATCTTCCCTACAAGAAATGCTAAGGAGAGTCTTTCAGGTTGAAAAGAAAGGACACTAGATAGTAACTCAAACCTGCAGAAAGGGGACAAAAATCCTACAAAACTCCAGTAAAGGTAATTTCATGGGTAAATATTAAGGTAAGTTTTACAGTATTTTTTTGTGTGGCCTTTACAGGCAGTCCTTGGATTATGAACGAGTTCTGTTCCTAAATCTGTCTTTAAGTTGAATTTGTATGTAAGTTGGAACAGTTAGGTACGGTTTGTATCTAATGTTAGTTAGTCAAATGTTTGTCTTAGTATATAGTGTACCTTTCAATATATAAAAAACATTAAACACTTCCAGATACACTAAAACATCTTTAACATAATACAGTAATAATGTGTTGATGTGCATCACAAAGTAGTGCCCGTTTGTTATTATGAATCATTGTAAGTACCTCCAATTTTTATTATAATAGGCTTTACAGGGGTTGGTTTGTAACTACAGGTTGTACATAAGTCAGATGTTCGTAACCCAGGGACTGCCTATACCGTATTTGTGTTGGGTGGGTGATTGGCTCATGGAGACCAGCAAGCTCAGCCTGAGATTCATCAACAACCCACAGGGAAGAAAAACTGCAGATCACAGCAGCAGGACAGCCCTTCTCAGGGACGTCAGACAACCCTAGGTACCTGCTGATGTTGACAAACACAGCTGTTTTTTTCATCTTCTGGAAGAAGTCCTTGTTGCAGAGCTCCTTGGTTGCAGGTGTTAAGGAGCAGGCTACCACAATAAAATCAGACTCGGCGGCCAGCTGGGGGGCAGACACTGGGAAAGGGCAGGGTTTCATTAGACATTGATCCTCAGGTTAGGGACAGTGAGATGGTGGGATACCAGACCCTCTCCTCCTCCCCACATAATGGAAACTCCCAAGATGTTTCCTGAAGGCCTCATCTCCACTTGGACAACTCTGATGACTGTACAAACTCTACAGCCATTCATGGAATCTTGGTGCATCAGATTGTTCCGCCAGCCCCTTGGTCTATCAGATGGGGAAACTGAGGCCAGAGAGGGGCAGGAGCTTATTCAAGATCACAAAGTGGGATTTGGGCCACTCTGGCTTTCATCACCTTCAGGGCTGGGTGTGTGTCATGGATTGAATTGTGTCCCCCAAAAGTATGTGTCAACTTGGCTAGGCCATCATTCCCACCATTGTGTGGTTGTCCTCCATTTTGTGATTTTCCTATGTGTTATAAATCATAATCTCTGCCTGTGTTTAAAGAGGATTGGGGTGGGATGTAACACCCTTGCTCAGGTCACATCCCTGTTCCAATGTAAAGAGAGTTTCCCTGGGGTGTGACCTATACCACCTTTCATCTTACAAGAGTTGGGGACCTCATACCACCAAAAAAACAGCACTGTGAGCAGAGCACATCCTTTGGACCCAGGGTTCCGGCGCAGAAGCTCCCAGTCCAGGGAAGACTGATGACAAGGACCTTCCTCCAGAGCCGACAGAGAGAGAAAGCATTCCCCTGGAGCTGACACCCTGAATTTGGACTTCTAGCCTACTAGACTGTGAGAAAATAAATTTCTCTTTGTTAAAGCCATCCGCTTGTGGTATTTCTGTTGCAGCAGCACTAGATGACTAAGACAGTGTGTCAGCAGGGTAAGGGATAGCTGAAATCCTGCCCTCTGCTTGCCAAGCTGTGTACCCTACTGGGGGGCTGTATCCACCAGGACAAAGGGGCATCTTTTTCTAATTCATACAAAGGCTGGGGATAACACTCACCACTTTATTAGGAAACTGAGTTAAAGTCCCCAGTTCTTCCTTCCATCCATCACCATCTCTGCTACTCTGCCCACACATGGCAATGGTGACAAAGGACTCTGAAAGTCAGAGACCTAGAGTGTTCTACTGCACAGAAAGAATTCACTGTGTAACCTGGGGTAAGTCCCTGCCCTCCCTGAGTGGGCCTCTGTGTCCAGGGCAGGTAGATTAGATGCCTAAGGGATGCAGCAGGCCTTGGACACACCTGAGCTCCGACACTGCCTGCAAATGGTGCCATTAAAGAAGACAGGGAGAACCTTCCAAGAGAGCACAGAGAGGGCCCCTGTGGAAATCAAGGTTTTACTTTACCAAACTTTGCCTGGAATTCCTCTGCTTCCTGAGGCCTGGGCTGCCGTCCTGTGTAGAGAAATCTCTGGACGCCAAATGGTTTCAGACGCCGAGCAACAGCCTGGCCTGGACACAAGGAGTGAGAGTTCATGGTTTCTCCCCCACACCCTCAGGGAGCAGGGGCAGCACCCAGCAGCTCCAGGGACAGGGTTCCCCTCAGGGTCGAGTCAGTATAGTCCTGACGTTAGATGGTCCTGTCTTACGTGGATGGAGCTGGGGGCTGCCTCAGCCAGCCACACCATGCCCTCAGGGGCCACATGGTAGCCATTCAGAGATCTGGAGGCAGGATCACAGCTCCTCTGTGGCTTCAACTGGCTTATGCTGTCCCCACGTGGTCCTGGCCACCTTGAGGACCATTTATTAACCTTCTCTGAGAACTGGACCTGGCATTCCAGAAGAGGCCTGGCAAAGCAGTCCCTCCCTCCTCCTGGACTCTCTGCTTCTGTTAATGCAGCCCGAGAGCTCATCTGACTTCTTAGTGGCATTGTCACACTGCCAACTTGCCCAAAACCTGCAGGACCTTTGCACAGGTGCTGCTGCTGAGCCAGGCCTCCCCTGGCCAAGGTTTGGGCAGGTATATTTTCAGATTTAGAATGTTCACCAAAGCTGCTAGATTCCAACCAGCTCTCTAGTGTGAGAGGCAGGGCCGCTGGCTGGCCAGACAGGTTACTCACACTCTGTACCCCTCACCCATCCTGCATTCAGGCAGGTTGCCAGAAAGCCACTGACAGCTGCCTGGGTGAGCTCAAGCCCTTCCATCAGGCTTCTCCAATAGGGGCCACTGGAAGAAAAATAGCTCTGCTTCATCTGCAGGACCAAAGCAAACTCTGCCCATTAGGCCTGCTTGTCCCTGAGTTAAAGCTCCATGGATCAAATGCCTTCTGGAATCCAGGCCTGGTGGGGGGTGGTGAGGACTCTCCTCAGTATATTACTCCTAAAGGCCTCAATATTTGTAGTTTTTATGCAGCTGTAATCATTCAGAATTGTGGCTCTTAAACAATTTCCTTTTATCACCTAGTGGGTTCTTAAGGAAATCCTGATTTTTTTTTTGACCTGTGTTTTATGAAGCTGAGTCTTCTCCTTAGAGATTTCCCTGCTGCATGCAAAGTGCCCTGATAATACACAGCTAAGGAAACACTTCACAAAAGATTTTCAGCATCTAGACACGTGGTACCAGGGGTTTGAATCAAGCCATGAGAGCCAGTGGTGGGCGACTCACCTATGCGGCCCAGCCCGATGATGCCCACGGTGCTCTGGGTGAGGCCGTAGCCACACATCCACAGGGGCTTCCACGAGGTCCAGCCGCCACTGCAGGGAGTGAGGGGGTAGTGAGAGGCCCCAGCCTCCGGCAAAGACAAGAGCATACTGCCAACTCACAGACCCAGCACGCCTGGTGTACTGAGAGTGGGGATGAGGTATACCCACAGCTACTCAACACTGAAAAAGCACAAGGAATGACTCCTCCTTTAAAGCCAGAATTCGAGGGCTGGAAGGGTCCCTGGAGGCTCCCATCCCATTTTGCAGATGGGGAAACTGAGATCAGAAAGGGTGACTTGCCCGAGGCCATACGGCCAGGGTAGAGTGGGTTATGGCAGGTTGCAAACTTGGGATTTGGGATTCCAGAACCAGTGATCTCAGGCAGAGAGTAAAGCCACAAGGTCCAGCCCCTGTGGCCCTGGGGGACAGGAGAACAGAGCCTATCTTGAGTTACCTTCAATAAAGGTGACAGAGGGGTCAGCAGGACATTCAGCACTGTCTCTAATCAGCCTCATGCTGCTCCTGCCACATCCGGACCCTGAAGCCCATGCCCCTCACGTGTGCATGCCTCCCAGCCTTTGCTCAAGCTGTTCCCTGCTCCTGGAATGCCTTCTCTAGCACTTAATATACAGACCTAAATCTCTTACCCGAAACCCTTGGGCCAGATTTCAGAATTTTTCAAATTTTAGGAAGGCAGCATGGTACATATGCTGTATTTTACATTACACCCTCTGCAGAGTCTGGGCAGCACCTTGTATCAAGCACATTAGTATTTCTGCAGCAAAACATGTGGCTGTTCACACTGAATGGAATAAATACGGACCATAAACAGCCTCATGTAGTTCCAGTCAGGTTTTGCTACCAAAAGATTTACAGAACAACTTTCAGAGCTTTTTGGATTTCAGTATCATGGATGAGGGGTGGTAGGTCTGTACCTCTCAGCACTCAAGAGGATGCCCAACTGCTACTTCTTCCACGAAGCCTTCCCTGATCCACACCTCCTCCCAACCAGACAGAATTTATCCATCCCTCCTTTATCCTCTTCTCTCATGTCCTGTTTATTTTAGTTCTGCCTTGTGCTTTAGTATTTTGGCTGAGTCTGTCCTCCCCACCTCACCACCACCACACACACACACATATGCTAGATGGTATGTGCTCAGGGACTGAGTAGCTCAAGAAACGGCTACTGAGCAGAGCCGACTTTCCCACCAGGCGTTCACTCACTTCTTCACCTCTGCGATAGCCTCCGGCAGCCTGCGGCAAGTGGTGAGCAACAGGGAGACTGCGAGTTCGGCAGTGGCATCTGTCAGGACATCTGGGGTATAGCCCACGCGGATCCCACTACAAATCAAACATCTGGTAACACCAACCTAGAGCACCTTCACCACTTTCTACCTTTCCATTATGGAAAGGTATTTACACAGTGCTACTTTGCTCCCTCTTTGCTCTGCCTGCCAGGAACCTCAGAGCTATAAATGAGCACTCAGGAATGTTCACCCCTTATTCCTATCTCGATTATCTCCCCCTTTGGGAAGGATATGAAGATGCACGATCAGGGTTTAAGGATAAGTAACTATTTAAACCTTTCTGAATTTCCTCATCTGTATAGGGAAACAATAATACTTACTTTTTCTACTAAGGCGTTGTAGGGATCAGAAAAGATACTGAATGTGAAAGGGTGATAAACTGGACAGATGTTACACACTAATTCTGACCTCTTGAGTTTTGTTTTAACTGACCTGTGCCCCTGTGAGCATATTTTATCATCGGCCACCTCACATTCTCGCTGAATGGCTGAGGGGTATGAAGTGAAAATAAACAAATACTCAGCTCTCCCTCCCCCGTCTCTGGCAGCCACCCCTCTCTCCAGGCCCCTCCAAAGCCCAAGCTGCATTTACCGCTTCTTGATTTCATCCAAAGCCAAGTGGTCAACGCCCACGGACAGTGTGCTGATGACTTTGAGATTGGCTCCTGTTGTGCAGAAAAAGCACCCTCTGTATCTTTCCCCGTGGAATTTAAAGCCCTCCTCTATTGCTTGGACACCAGCTTATTATTATTTTCTTAGAATAAGAGTCAAGGCTGGTGTCTTTGCTCCTCGTTTAAAACTCAGAATAATCCCTTTGTCAGGTATGGGCGCTGTGGCTCAGAGACGTTAAGGGACCTGCCCTGGTCACAGGATACCATATGGCCCCTGCCCTTACCCACTAGATGGTCTGTCCAGTGAGGCCTCAGGTCTCCTTGGGCCACAACCTCTGTGGGGCCTCCCCCGGACCTCTCACAGAGCACTGAGAAGGCGGGTGGGGCCTAACTCTGTGACACCCTCTCCTCCAGCAGGCAGACAGAAAGCTCCCAGGCCCAGTTTGGGGCACAGGTGCCAGGCTTGGCTCAGCCCTGACTCACAAGGGACCCTCCCCATGCAGCAGCCTTTAATTCTGAACCTTTCCGCAAACTGTCATGATGACAAATCTCAAGGAGTGACATTACCCTGTCTGCTTTGTGACATTACCCTGGTGCCTGCTGGTGCTTGGCACTTAGCTGGGCCCTCCGTCATTGCTACATGTCACAAAGCAAGGCCGTGGCAGGCCTGGCTGAGGGCCTTGGGTGCTCTGCCCCACACCCGCTGCCTCCACACCATGGTCTTTGGCCTCACAAGGCCTCCCCTCAGGGATCCACAGCCAGAGGAGAGGGGCACTGTGTGTGCCAGGTGGGGATGCAAACAACTGCCCCCTCGGGCCTAGTAGCTCTGCAAGTGACCTCAGAACCCAGAGAGGTCCCTGCAGGCCTGCTCAGGGAGCCAGTAGAGGCAGGCTGATGTGCCCCACAGGGCCAAGACGCCCTCTGACCCCACCCCGGACCTGCCCAGTGCACATGCCTGCTGCATCCAGGAGCCTCTTGTCCACGCGGTCAGAGAGAAGGCAAAGCAGGCCTTGAGCCCCAGCCACGCCTCGCTCTAGCTCCTTGTCAGGGATGGGCTCATCCGAATCCCATTGCTCCACCTCACAGCTGAAGGCAAAAGAAAGGCCACTCAGGAGAAGCAGGGGAGCCCCACAGATGCCCCCAGGCTCCTAGATTCCCCACAGCCACAACCCCTGCCTCCCCTCTCAGAGCTGAGGACACTGCCTTCTGCTGGCTCTGGGCTTGGCTGAGGCGAGTCGGGGGCCAAGTGCAGATGGGGGCCTCAGAACTGTCCTGAGGGGGCCAGTGAAGGGACAGGGCAGAGACAGCTCACAAGGTCTGAGGCGGCCCCAAGAGCAGAGCCTAAATTGAAAGGGGAAAACTGAAAGAGACAGCTCTTAGCTCCACATAAGGAAGAGCTTTCTAACACTAACAAGAGGGCTCCGGATAGTGAGCTACCTGGCACACACTTCCAAGCAGGTGGTCAATTGTTGGGAAGGCCAGGGAGGGGAGAGAGTACCTGCATCAGATGAGGTTTGGATTCTGTAATGGATTGAATTGTGTCCCCCAAAAAAGATATGTTGAAGTCCTAAGCTCTGACACCTGTGAACATGACCTTGTTTGGAAATAGGGTCTTTGAGGATATTATCAGTTAACATGAGGTCATACTGGAGTACAGTAGGTCCTAATATAATCTGAGTGGTGTCCTCATGAAAGAGAAGAGACACAGAGAGGCAGACAGAGGGAAGATGCCATGTGAAGATGGAGCTATGCTGCAGCTGCAAGCCAGCGAACACCTGGAGCTATTAGAAGCTGGAAGAGACAAGAGGATTCTCCCCCAGATCCTGCGGGGACAACATGACCCTGTCAATCCCCTGAATTTGGACTCCTAGACTCCCGATCTGTGAGACATTAAATTTCTGTTATTATAAGCCACCCAATCTGTGGTACTTTGTTACGGCAGCCCCAAGAAATTTAACACAGAGTCCCTGACCAACTGCACCTCTTCTTGTCCCATGAATCCATAAAATGGGAAACTCTCATACTTGGACAATATCATCAAGACAACGCAACATAAAGGAGGTTTAGGGCATGCTTCCACGGCAGCTCCTGGGAACTGTATACGCTTCCCGTGCCACCCAGCCTCTCAGCCCTTGCCATTTAATTCAGTCCAGCCAACATGTATTCAACACCTATGTGTGTGAGACACAGGGCAGCTGCTGGAAACGCCACAACATCGTGATGCAGCTTTTGCCTCAAAGACAGAGCCCCAGGCACAGGCCACTTTCCATCCACCTCTACGTGAACATGGTACACAGTGCTATAGCAGTGTGAGATAGTGCTATTGTTGTTGTTTCTGCCTTTCCCCTCACTCCCCAACCCCTTAGTAATTAGCAGGTCCTCAGCAAGTTCTGTTGTGTTGAATGAAATAAAAAATAAATCTCATTCCCCCCAGCTGATTTCTGAGACTGGGTCCCACCTTCTCCCTGCTTGACACTGGCAGTGCAAATCTGGTATAATGAAGCGTCAGACTGCAGTCAGGCAGAGCTGAGTTCAAACCCCAGGTGTGCCACTTAGCAGCTGTGTGATTTGGGGCAAGGTACTTAACCTTTCCCAGTCTGTTTTCTCATCTGTGAAATGGGAATCATAATACTGACTTGACAGTGTTGCAAGGTTAAATTAGTTTATGTATATGAAGCACCTGGCAAGGCTGGCACACGGAAAGGTAAGGAAAGGTACAATTTTAAGAGTCACCCAAGGCCACTGCCAACCGTCCGAAGGGACTAGGCCCGTGACTGCCACTGACCCTCTCGCCTGCCTGTGATCAGGCGACCTCGGAGGGTAATGATTAACAGCCTGAATCCTGCGTCATGGACGGTCTCCCCTGTCCCCAGGGCGATGACCGGGAAGGGTTCCAGTGTTCCACAACCCCCCGCCCCCCGGCGACACCGCACGGGGCCTGGAAAGAGCTAGGGCCGCACAAATCTTTCTCAAGAACTCCAAGCCCGTCCCGACAGAGCACAAGCTGGAAAGTCCAGCCAAGGCCCAAGCGCCAGGGCCCCGGCTCTCTCTGGCCCCTGGGACAGCCTTGCCTTCCCCCTCTAAAATAACTGGGGCCTCTGGCGGCCGCCTCCCTGCCCCAGTCCAAAGGCGCGCCTGGAGATCGCTGAGTCACCCTGTGTGCAGGGGGGCCTGGGATCTGGGGGAGAGCACCCGCCAGCGTCGCCCGGGGCAGACAGATGTGCCCTGGGCTCTGCAGCCCCTTCTCCAGATCCCACCCTACCCCGTGCGCCCCGCCGGGCACTCAGCGCGCGGAGCGGCGCGAAGGCGCCGGCTTTTCTTACTCTGCCGCCTGTGCGAGCGCGGCCCTGCCTTCCGGGGGTATCCTGCGGGTGATGAACACCTTCATGAGTCGCGCTGGCCTCATGCAACCAACAGCGGCTGGACATTGACCCAGACGTGGGCGGACGCAAGCGGGACGGGAAGTAGGGGCGGGGCCACGGGAGGGGTGGGGCCTCGGCTGGAGTCGGCCAAGCTGGTGTGTGAACCGGTGTGTTGGCTGGACTCCCGTCGGCCTCGCCTCGAGTCGGGGTGTGCTGGATTGTAGATGTTGGTGATTGTGCACACTCGGGAGTCAGGACGGGGGAATCTGAACCTGGGAATGACCTCTATAGCACTTTGCGCAATTCCCCATATGAAGCTGACGATTGTGAGGAGTAGTTTAATGGGTCGCGGGCCACCCAGAGTTGCAGGAAGCCTGCTGACTGGCTGCGAGAAGGTCGAATGAGCATGGAACCAAGGCCAAGGCACTGGATGGGGCCGTGTGGGGTCTGGGTTTGCAGTCAGATGGACTGGGGCTGAATCCCGGCTCTGCCATTTACAGGCTATGAGATCACCTCGTCTTCCTAAGCCTCAGTTTCTTTAGCCACAAAATGGAGGGAAGAACACTTTCCTTTGAGGGTTATTGTTATGATTAAACAAGACAATGTTTGCACAGACCCTGGGCCATGTTTGGTGTTCATCGCGCACTGAGAAAGCTGTGGAGAAGAGAGGTTAGGCGCTCATGCTCTGGATCCGGACGGCTTGGGCTTAAATCCCAGCTCTGCTGTTAATAACAGGTTATTCAACGTCTGTGTGGCTCAGTTTTCTCATCTGTAAAATGGGGATAATAATAGTACCTGTCTCATGGGGCTGTTGAAAGGATGAAATGAATCAACTTATGTATGTACAACAGCTTTGAACGCATGGGTACTTGACAACTGTTAACACATAGAAGGACACCCTGTGCCCCAAGGCCAGCAGTTGGTCACTGGGCAGTCACTGAAGCCAGACTAATGAAGTGGAAGGGGGCTAGGCTGTAGCTCAACTCTGTTGGCTTCATCTCTGCCCCAGGCCTGTTCAGTTACTTGCTCCCAGGCCTGCCTGGTGGTCCCTCCCTACCCTCTTCTGCCCTGGTTTTAGCTGAATCCATTCTGCCCCCTCAGGGTCCAGATAAGGAAGCTGAAACATGCACAGAGAGGTGACATCACACGGCAAGTCACTAGAGAGGCCAGAGCTGGCATCTGGGCTGCTGGACCTTGGGCCAGTGCTCCAACTTGCTACCTCCCTCTCTTGAGTAACACATTAATGAATGTCTTACCCACAGACCATTATCTGCACTGCTAGGCCACCTCAAGAATTTCTGAAATACATCAAACATTGGCAAAACAAGGTGTTTTTCTGTCCGTAGGCCAGGCTGTTTGGGGGACAGTGTGGCCCAGTAACTCTGTCCTCTGTTAATCAGTTGTGACACTGGAGCCCAGCTTCTCCTACACAGGACAGCCAAGGGCACTGGGCAAGCCTGTCCACCAGGGTCAGGAGAAGACATGACGTGTTAATGGGCCCCTTCCCCCAAGACAAAGCACACAGCTTGTTCTCAATAAGTGTTGCTGGGTGGTGGGCATGGAGCCAGAGCATGGATTCAGCTGAAGGCCTTGGAGGAGGGATCAGGTGAAGTGGTAGGAAGAGGAAGGTGTGAGAAGAGGGGAGGATTAGGAGGCCTGACCTGGGCTTCATTGGGTAAAAATAATCATAATAAATAGCTGATATTTATGGAGCTCTTAGTAAGTTCCACTTGTCCAACTCACTTGCTTTGGACACATCATGAGGAAAGACCAAGCGCTGGACGGGGACATTATGTTTGGTGAAGTAAAGGGCCAGAGAGGGCGAGGGAGACCCTTTGTGAGAAGGATTGGCACAATAGCCACAATGAGGAACTTGAACATAGGGGTGATTGTGAGGATGACACAGGACTGGGCAACTTTCTGTTCTGTTGTACATAAGGTCATCATGAGTCGGAGTCAACTCAATGGCAACTAACAACAAGTAAGTTCCAGGCACTGTCTAACCACTGCGTATGGTAACTCACTAATTTAAACCTCTCAGCACCCTGAAAGGTGCGTACTATTACTGTCCCCAGTTTACAGATGAGAAAGTTGAAGCCAAGAAAGGTGAAGTCGTTTGCTTAAAGTCACACAGTTAGTAAGAGGCAGAGCTTGGATTCAAGCCCTGGCACTCTGGCTTTGGAACCCTGCTCTTCTTGAAAGCCTTGTGAGAATGAGGAGGGAAAAGAGGGCCATGAGGGCCAACTTTCAGGTATCTGGCTTAGGGGCTCCTGGAGGTGGCTGTCACTTGATGAGGATCCAGGAAGAGGGGTGCAGGTGTTAGGTCAGGGGGAAAGGGAGAAGGGCAGTTTGGCAGGTGTTGAATTTGAGATGTCTGGGGGGGTGCTCACAAGGAGGGGCTCACGAGGGAGGCTAGGTAGTAAGTATTTCAGGCTTTAGGGGCCATATGGTCTCTGTTGCAAGTTGCCAACTCTGCCATGGTAGTGCAAAAGCAGCTATAGACAATAGATAATTGAATGAGCACTGCTGTGTTACAATAAAACTTTATTTATGGACATTTAAATTTGAATTTCATATAATTTTCATGTGCCACAAATATTATTCTTCTTTAGAATTTGTTTTTTTTTTTTTTTAGGTGCAGGACCCAGTCTTAGCTTGGAGGTCATACAAAACAGGCTGCAACCAGATTTGACCTGGACTTAGCAGAACTTCTTACTTGACAGGGCACAGGAATCACCTGGGGATCTTGTTAAAAAGCAGATTCTGATTCAAGCTCTGAGGTGATGTGCTGCTACTGGACCACGGACTACACATCGAATAGTAAAGGGCTAGAGGATTTCTGGCTTAGCCAGTCTCTGAAATTCGCAGTGACACTTTAATGCTTCTGCCCTTCGCTGAAGAGATGCTCATTCAGAGGTCTGGGTGTGCGTGCGGCCCCGGTATTTTCTGCACAGCCTTCACCTCTGACCCATGTTCTCCTTGCTTTATTTATTTATTTTTCCTTATTTTGTTTTTGTGTCTTTCTTCTCCCACCTTCCCCTGCCGAACATAAGCTCCTTGAGAGCAGGGTCCTTGTCACCTTGTTTATGCTGTTCTCTGACAGTCTTGCACATGGCAAGTGCTCAGTAAGTAGTTGTTGAATAAACGAATGAATGATGCTGGGATGCCTGGTTGACCTGCCTTCTTGCTCATCCCCACTGGGACTTTGTCATTCTATCACCACCTAGTGGTTACGTTTGTGTACTGCAGGGTGGGGGGAGAAAAACGGTCCGCATTTGTTTGTGATCCAGGCAGAAGGTGGAGGAGGCGGCTGCAGGCAGACAGCTGCCCATTCTGGTGGCTCTATATCTGTGTTCTTGTCTGCTGGCACAGCGCTCCTCGGAGGAGAACCTTCCTGGAGGAGGAGACGTATGAGCTGAGCAATGAAGGCAGTGGGATTTGGAATGGTGGGAATGAGAGAGGGAGAAAACACATTCCTGGCAGAGGGAATAGCAGGAGTGAAGACCTGAAGGTTGGAAAGCTTGGGCATGGCCAAAAGGTGAGGAGAAGTAGTAGCAGCTGAGAAGGGCAGTGGAAGGTGGGGCCAGATAATGACATAAAGCAGGAAGGGAAGAGGTTCCAAGGAAAGGGAATTTCCACTTAGTCAGTGTTTGACCATGCCAGGCACTTCACACACATAAACTCATTTAATCCTCCTGAGTGCTGTTGAGTCAATTCCGACTCATAGCAACCCTATAGAACAGAGTAGAACTGCCCCATAGTGTTTCCTAGGCTATAATCTTTACAGGAGCAGGCCTCCAGGTCTTTTCTCCCACAGAGAAGCTGGTGGGTTTGAACCACCAACCTTTTGGTTAGCAGCTGAGCACTTAACCGTTGAGCCACTAGGGCTCCTCGAGGGAGATTTTAGGATCCTCATGTTACAGATGAGGTAACTGAGGCACAGCTTAGGTGAAGTGACTTGCCCAAGGCTACACAGCTGGTAAAGGACAGAATTTGAATTTGAATCTAGATCATCTGACTGGCTCTCTCCTCTGTGATGGGGGTACCTGCGCCTGGTTTGTGCTTGGGGGGAAAAGTTGGGGTAAACATACTGGAATCTAGGAGCTCGGGTTTGAGACATCCCAGAGCTCTGAACTGTCAGTCCCTAATCACTGTCTCACTGGGTTGCAAGGCCTGACAACACATGATCTAGGGGCTTCCTTCTTCTCATCCTGCTGGTCCTAGAGCCTGGCCTGGGTGGCAGGAGGCCTAGTCCCAGCTCTGTCTCTCTAGGCTGTAGGGTACAGTGGATGCAAAAAACAAACCAACCAACCTGTTGCTGTCAAGTTGATTCTGATTCATAGTGACCCTGTAGGACAGAGTAGAACTGCCCCATAGGGTTTCCAAGGAGCAGCTGGTGGATTTGAACTGCCAACTTTTAGTTAGCAGCTGAGCTCTTAACACTGCATCACCAGGGCTCCACAATGGATTGGCACATGGAATCATGGAACATCAACACTGAAAGGGACCTCAGAGATCTCTGACTTGCCCACTATACAGATGTGGCAACTGATGCCCAGAGAGGGGAGAGAACTTTTCCAATGATGCAGCAAGCTAGGTCCAGTGTGGTTCTTGCTGGGCAGCCAAATCCCCTGGGCTCCCATACAAAAGCCTGAGACTCTCCTGCAGAGGGTACCAGAGGGCCTGGCTTTGCCCCTTTGGCCAGCTCAGGACCCTGGGAACTGTGTTTGGGCTTCAGTTCCCAGTGAAGTTTGTCCCCAGGTGTGGGGTGAGTGTGCAGGGTTGTTGGCAGGAGTTGCAGGGGCGGGGGAGGTATCATGCTCCCAGAGGCAGGACACTAGGACCTGCCTCAAGGGTTTTCTGGAAGCTGGACTCACCAAGGCAGGGGGAAGAATGGGAGGGCACCCACCCATGCTTCCCAGCCCAGCAGCAGACCACGGCGCCCCCAGACTTTCACCCCTGTGCAGCTCTGCACCTTTCACAGGAAGCCTGAGGGACTCGAGGGCATGGAGGAGATGCCCTCTACCCAGACTGAGCTCAGCTCTGTGTTAGCTT